AACTTTGTTTTTGTTCCTAAACAAAAACAAAGTTGCTGAAAAAGCCAGCAGGTTCGGCAGCATCTGAGAAGGAAGAAACAGAGTTTACGTTTCGGGTCTGGTGACCCTTCGTCAGAAATCCACTTGGTTCATTAATGTCCCTTTGGGAAGGGAATCTGCCATCCTTACATAGTTGAGCCTAAAAGGTTACTCCATATCGACAGGGCTGATTGACTGTTAATAGCCCTTGGAAATAGTCAAGCAAGCCATTCAGTTTTGGGGCAATTAGGGAATAGTAGCAAATGCCAGCAATGCTCATATCCGGTGAAAGAATTTTAAAAGAATATAGATATTAAAAATCTGAATTGATGGGCTTATTCCCGCAAAACAAATCTAAATTCCTATTCAAGAGATGGAACTGTCCCTTAAAATAAAATAAGGTTTGAATCTCCATTTCTCTAGATTGCTGTTCCAAGTGTTTGCATTCTGTCTGAAAGTTATTCTTGACATCGGCCCTGATTTTAATTGACACCCCTTACTCTGGCAGGCTTTAAGTAATTCTCTAGATTTCTCTTTATCTAGCTTTTTGTATATCTTCGTATAGGTCCGTAAGTTTCCCTTTCAGTTGCCTCCATTTCACGTGAGTGTTGCTGTGCACCCGAGTCATTTCATGTTGTGAACCTAGCTTGGGACTCTTCACTGAACCATCTCTATGCCTTGAATGTTCTGAGGAAGGGTCACCAGACCTGAAACGTTTACTCTGGTTTTTTTTCTTCACAGATGCAGCATCACAGTTCTTTCGCTTTTTATTACACTCTTTAGGACTCTCCTCATTTCACGCAGAAATGCTGCTGATTTTCAGATAAGAAGGGTATATATCGTAACCAAACTACAAAATCATGCACAAAGGAACGAAAATCTTTGCAGTGTTTGCACTACATCTAGGAGTCAAGGAAGCAGGTCAAAACTAAGATTTTTGTGCAACAGGTGTCAAGGTCAGAGGTCAATTCAACTTGGGTGAAAATTGATATCAAGTAGTCTTATGGTGGTCTATCAAAAAGTGCTGAAGCTTTGTATGCAAGGTCTTTCTGTCTGATCTATTTTTAAGAAAAAGCCTTAACATTCTAATAATCTTAACCTGTTGAGAGAATAAGTCCTTAACTTTGGGACACAGGTACACCAAGGCCAAGGTGACAATATCACTAAAATAATGCAGACATCTATTTTTGTTCTGGAGAGATCTAGCCCAAGTGTTCAGTGTAAAATACCAGCAAGGTAGAACATCACCAGGAAAGCGAAAAAGAAAATCAGTAATTTATTCTGTTTTAAAAGCCTTCAGGTTTGACACAGGTTTAATAGTTTTCATATTCTGGGAAAGAAGCAGCCACATCTGTGTGACTAATCATTACTTTAATTGGGAGGATGAAATTTCTTGCAGGCACTTCTACTTATCCACATGTAAAAGTATAGCCAAGTTCTATCTCTACCCTTCAATACAAGACAAAACTGAATGCCTCCCTCCCAAAAACTGAGCAAATAAAGTGCATGGTAATTGAATTTATTGGATGACTCAAATAAATCTATTTTAGCCACGTCAATTCGTCGTTAATGGTGCTCATTTGTTTTTAAATATTAGAATATACAAATGTAATCACCTTTAAGGCCAATAGGTGACCACAACTTACTGAGGTTTAAAGGTGTGTTGTCATCTTGTGGGGTCCAAAACAGCTTCTTTGACATCAGCTCCCCTGATGTCTGAGGAGTATCCATCAACGATCGCCCTGTTTTTCCAGGCTCTGGAGATTTACTGGACACTGGCTTTGGTAAAATGGGATGCACTTTCTTGAGTGTCGATGATCCTGTCTGAGACTGGCCCTTCAGTGGACTGGTAATGGTCAACTTTGGCGATTTAGCTGCATGCGTTGTTTCTCCTTGGCACTCCTCTCCAAGTGGTTTGCCAGGAGTTTCTTGTTTTACAGCAGACATGTCCTTTGGTGAACAGCTCTGCGGTTTATCAGTAGCCAAAGTGGAGGGTAAAACACTAGGTATCCCTTTTCTTTTCATCAGTTCATACAATGTACCAATTGGGGCGCCACTGCTTTCAGAGTCTGGCACTCCAAACTGCCTCAGGTGGAAGCGTGCATGACTTGACAATCCTTTACGGGTCTCAAAGCAGGTGCCGCATAACTGACAGGAATTCAGCACTAAAGTAAAAAAACAAAACAGTCAATCCTGACATTAGACATTTTGATAATCCTTACACACTCCCAACAAAGTACTGTGCTTGTTGAACCATGTACCTGAAAAACCAAATTTGGTGAGTAAAAATATACACTGCCTATCCTGACTTGATGCAGAGAGTGGAACAATATCAGGTTATATTTTCCCAACACGGTGTGTCTACAAGCCTCCAAGTACTGCACCAGCTTTGAATGTCTTAAATTATTTTGTTTCATCTGAAAATCCAAGACTTCCTTGTTACAATACCTTTATATTGTACCTCCTCTCAGTTTCATGTCTATACTCAGGTTCCTTGGTGCTTTCAAGAGGATGGTGCAAGAAACCGCAAAGTAAATGAACCCAGGTCACTAGGATGTTCATTCTCTAGCTGCTTTCAGAGAAATACTGAAGTACTCAAAAGCAAACCTCAGCTGTCTAAGCTTGCTTATGAGGGAAAAAGTAACTCCAATAGTTCCATATATCTGTCTGTCTGTCTTTAGGTCAGATACAGGGAGACACAATGAGCTAATAAATGCTATATCAGGACAAAATATGGACAAAACCATAATCATCAATTCAGTGTGTGGAGCTGGAGGAACACAGCAGGCCAGACAGCAGAGGAGCAGGAAGGTAGACATCTGAAGAAGGGTCCCGACCCGAAGTGTCAATTTTCCTGCTACTCTGAAACTGCCTGACCTGCCGTGTTCCTCCAGCTCCACACTGTGTTGTCTCTGATTCCAGTATCTGCAGTTCTTGCAATCTCTGGTCATCAACTCACTGACAGAGTTAAAACAGCTCTACAGCAGCATAAATCACATTACTAATAACTCAAATTCACCTAAGAACTAAAATATTTGGTATAATGTAGTCAGTGAACACAGAACACATTCTCTATCAAGCTGCTGCCCTGCCTATAAAATGTGAATGATACTTTGCTTCTTAATCCAGCTTCACATTACACTACTCTTGTCTAGACAGTGACTGTCAGTGGCACCAAAACAAATTGAATTTCTCATAAGGAGTAGCCCATGAGTACAGTGTGACATTTGAAAGACAAATAATACACCACATCTACTTGATCACCACCACAACCACGACCAAGTGCCCATTTGTTACCATGAGACAATATGCAAGCTATAAAAGGTAATTTTCAATTCAAGCTTGAACTATCTGAATAAAATTTTCACTACTTTCAGCCAAATAGCTCAGAATTAGTTCTTAAAGTAGTTCAACTGTAAAGAACAAGCTCTGCCTGTTTAGCATAAGAACTTTACTCAACACAAGGCAGAATGCTCAACAGTTCATTTTTGTGCGCAAGACCAAAACGGCTCAGCAGCATTTTCAGAGAAAGGTGTTTTAAAGGCTTTTAGTGCATGCTTTTGTCAATGTCTAGACTAATTAATAAAGATGCTCAAATACGAAGCACTCAGTGACTAGCATCACATCTAGCATTCAAAGGTAAAACCAGCACGATTCAGATTCGGAATAAGGATTTGCTGCAGTTATCCAATACGTTTTAGCTCTGATCACACGAAAAAACCTCTTCCTAATCAAGTGTGACACTTTATCTCCTGGTCATCCTCCTGCTCCAACTGAGATTAAACATACATCATATTAAAAGATTGCTCTATCTAGCAGATGTATCTACTAAACTGAAGCTACACCAAACGTACAACAGGATGAAAGGAGGGATTAATTTCATAGCACATGGCTAGATCGATTAGAATAAGGGTTCCAAACAAAAGCGTGAATCATTAATCTTTTGCTTTTGCCAGTTTGGAAGGAAAGGGAAAACTTTAAAATTTAGAAAAGGATTGCAAGCTGGATGGGTTTTGATATTGTCTAGCCATTGCTGGTACTCTATAATGGCTAGCACTGAGAATGTGTTACGAATCAGAGTGCAGTAGCTGTCAACCTCATCCACATACAAATCATGAGATGCAAAGATGATATGACTCCAAACACAAAATCTTGTCAAGCCACATTTGCCTCTCTCCTGGTTGATAATTCAACCTTTCTGGGGAAGTCACAAGTAGAAACTTGGCCAAAACTGGGGAAGCCTCCACAAAAGAAAAATAGTTTGAAATACAGACATAAAATGTCAAAAAGGAGAGCATAAATATAACACATTTACGGTAACTTAATGATTCAGAAGTTCAGCTTTCGGTCAAGGACCAAGACAATCAACATACTAAACACCACAACAAAAATTGAATGTGGGGTAGTAGCTTTTGGAATTGCATCCTAAATACAAATTGAAGCACTATATTTTTCCTTTAAAAGAGCAAACATCATGCAGAAAGCTTAAGCACCACTATTACCCTGGCTCCTCCAGACGGAGTACTATTGCCATCTCTGATGTTCTACCAATCAACAGAATTACTTTAAACTTACATTTGTTAGACTGCAGTGAATCCTCTCCTTGGGTCACCAAGGCAATTTTAGGAAGAGGCTGTTTGGAAAGCACTGAAGTTGTTTGAGAGCTTGTATCTGGAGTTCCCGACAATCCATTTTTCTCCTGGAGTTCAGATTCTGTAGAGCTATGTCCAGATGGCAAATCTAGCCCCAGAGAGGTCATTTCATCATCATCAGGATCAATTATCACCACTGCAAAAAACATTGAACAGAAAATGATTTACCCAGTTAAGATACCCAAATTCCTTTCTTCAAAGTTCGTTGTCCAAAAAGTTAAAATTAACAATGCTCAAGGTGACAATACAGATGATAGAATCTCCCCATTTTCAAGCCACTGGATTTCATCAGTTACTTAATGGTCATGTAAATAGAGAGTCATCGTTCAATAACCCGGACAAGTGACCACATTTCAGAAAGCCCCAACGACAAGGATCACTGGGCTATTTTGACACTGAGTGCAACAGCAAGGCATGGTCAGCTCTTTGTGAAACCCCCAGGATTGTAATCCCCAAAGTAATAATTTGAAAGCATTTAATGAAGAGAACCACAGTTGATTTTACTCCATGTCCCCCTTTCTCCTCATGGCTATAAAGACTAATGGTAGCATCCCTGGAGCAAGCACAACATAACCAACTAGCCCAGTATAGTTCAGACATTGAATCAGAGATCTGCTGGTTTATGAAGCTTAGTGTTACCTAGGGGGATGTCTTCATTGACTGGGATAAAGGGAGAATTACAGAGTTGTTAAACTTAACTCAAAACAGCTTTCTGGCTCAGCAGTAGTGCACACTTTTAAAAGGTCTGAAGACTCTACATATTACACAATGTGCCACAATTTGACTTGTGAAAGTGACAGTTATCACCACAATTCTAGTTTTGCAACAGACATAGTTGTAAGCTTTCACTGAATAATTGTTTTGAGTTATTAGTGTCTTCATCTCTGCCACTGTTTCAATTTTAACATTTGTTTCTTTCAAAAGTTATATCATTTAAGACTACCAATTGGATATAAAATATGACTTGAGACAGCAGACAAAAGGTTGTGGTGGAGGGCTCTTTTTAGGACTGAAGGCCTATGACCAGTGGTGTCCCACAAAGATCACTGCTGGGTCCACTGTTGTTTGTCACTTATATAAATGATTTGGATATAAATATAGGAGGTACACTTGCCTTCATTGGTCATAACATTGAGAATAGGAGTTGGAATGTCATGTTATGGCTGTTCAGGACACTGGCGTGGCCACTTTTTGGATACTGCACACAATTCTGGTTGCCCTTCTATAGAAAGGAAGTTGTTAAACTTGAGGGTGCAGAAAAGATTTACAAGGATGTTTCTGGGATTGGAAGGTTGGACTTATTGGGAAAGGCTGAATAGGCTAGGGATTTTCTTCCCCCTCAAGCATCGGAGGCTGAAGGGTGACTGTATAGAGGTGTATAAAAATCATGAGAATAGCCAAGGTCTTTTCCCTAGGGTGGGGAGTCCAAAACTAGAGGACATAGGTTTAAGGTGCAAGGGCAAAGATTTCAAAAAGGACGTGGGGGTAACCATTTCACGAGAAGAGTGGGTATAGCATGGAGCTGGAGGAACACAGCAGGTCAGGCAGCATCAGAGGAGCAGGAGAGTCGACGTTTCGGGCCTGGACCCTTCATCAGTCCTGCTCCACACTTTTATTGACTGACACCAGTATCTGCAGTTCTTGCTATCTCACACAGAGTGGTCTTTGTAGGAATGAGCTGCCAGAGGAAGTGGCAGTGGCAGAGGTATATAAATTACAACATTTAAAAGGCATTTGGAGGGGTAAATGAATAGGAAGGGTTTAAGAGGGATATGGGCCAAATGCTGGCAAATGGAACTAGGTCAGATTGGGATTTCTTGTCGACACAGATCAGTTGAACTGTAGGGTCTGTTTCTGTGTTGTATGACTCTGTGATTCTAATAAGAGGAGTCCTTTAAGATGGCGACGAGGAATTCTACCCCCCCGCCCGCTCAGAAGATCATTAGTGTGGAATTCTCTTCCCCAGGAAACAGTGGAGACTGAGTCATTGAGTTTATTTAATGCCAAGTTGGATTTCTGACACACAGGGTTATCAAAGGTAGGCAAGAAAATGGAGACCACAACCGTACCAACCACAATCTTATCAAATAATGGATCTGGGCTGGAGGGCCAAATGGCCTAATTCTGCTCCTATTGCCTATGCTCCTGTGTACTCTAGTGGCAGAGATACATCAAGCAGATAAGTAGCAGCATGGATTCAAAACAAAAGTATACAATATCTCCCCAACTATCAAATGCCTTATGATAAAATTGTATCCTCTGAAATATACTGTATAGCATTTTGTTAAGAATGCTGACAACCATAACAGTTTTTGTGCTGTTTCAATAAACTTCAGTACAATAGACTAAGCACTTTCAAACACTAGTTTTAGCTGGCATTTTTGTGGTGAGAGCAATTTGAAGCATTTAAACAGAAACAAAGATGATTTGTGGTACAAGGAGAAATCACTTAGCCCACAGTGCATGCACTGGCTGAACATAAGCTACTCAAGCAAATCCCATTAGATTTCATGTGTTATTACTTAAAACTAAAAATGGTTCGATCCTTTGGAAGTATTGGAACTAATTCCCAAGTTACCTCTTGGCCTGTCTTCACATTTCAGTGCAAAATGTACCTGCTACTCTCTTAAAACTCTTGTTTTTCTTAAAACTGCTTTACTTGGACAACGATTCAAATCGCCTAACTTCTTTTCTCATTCAATTGTTTGCATAGTGATGACTCATCCTTCGTATTTCACATGAATCCAGTGTTTCATAAGTGTGCGACATCCATTGATAGTGAACTAAAAATGAATCCACAGTCTGTCACTGAAACAGTTCTCCTCTACCTTCAGAACATCATACCCTACAAGTATGGAAGCTCATTCACCGTGATGATTTCTTGCCTTCACCAGATCCCAAGTTCTGCAAACCACAGCTCAAAACCTGCATTCCGTGCCCCACCCATGCTCTCTCCCACATCTTCAATAGCCTTTTGAAAATCCCTATGCCCGGAGCTTTGGTATTCTCCCCTTTCCTTTGTTTTGCTAAAAACACCGCTGCCATTTTCTTCCACACCAGTAAAGCTTTGTGACTGCAAATTATTGGCAAAGCACCACTAAGTCAGCTCAGGTCTGTCCCAGCTATGGCCTTCTGGGAAGAGAAATTTAAAACAGAACAGAGGCAAAATATTTGACAAGTAAGGAGGGTTTAAAAAAGAAATCCACTTCCAGTCAGAACATAGCACTTCAGAAAAGGAAAAAAGTGCATTCTGCAGCTGTTACAATCTCAGAAGGTGGTGTATGCACTTAGATTCAGACAAAACAATAATAGACAGAAAGCACTAAAATGTCTGTTAGAGCTTCTTTTTAAATATAAATGCGGTAAAAGGGAATTGAAAGTTTTTATGACCCAAGATCAGCAATTACACAATATAATGGCTGAAAATTGAGCCTGAATAAACCTGGTAATTACGAACAAAGTAGTTTCACATTTCAAGGGCTTTTAAGGTCACATTTAGAATAAAGTGAGCATTGCTAGACATAAAGGTTCGCAAAATACAATAAAGCATGACAAAAGGCTGGATGCCCCTACTTCCAATCAGTCAAAAACATATATATTTAAAAGGGGCAGATTTTTAAGTATAACAATGTTTTGCAGGACAGATGTTACCGAACATAAGAGTTCAGCTCTGCAACTGTTTAATATAGTGCAATGCTAACAAATATTTTAAACACTAATAAATTGGATCAAAATGTTTCTAAATTGAGCTTTGCAATTATTTCACCAAATATTTACAACTATACTTTTAGCTTCCCTCTTCCAACACTCCAGCCCACATGTATACATTTCACTTCATAATTAAAACCAATCCAGAACTGCATAACCATTGAGAAGCTTCTTTTTAATTCGCATGTGGGATGTGGACATCGCTGGCCAGCCAGCGGTTTACTGCCCATCCCTAGTTACCCTTAAAAAGATGGTAGTGAGCTGTCTTCTTGAACCACTGCAGTCTATGCACAGTAGGTTGAGACAACAATGCCACTAGGGAAGGAATTCCAGGATCTTGACACAGCGACAGAGAAGGAAAGGTGATTATTTCCAAGTCAGGATGGTGAGTGGTTTGGAGGGGAACTGACAGGTGATAGCATTCTACTGCTCTTGTCCTGGAACTGGTGGGTTAGAAGGTGCTGTCTAAGGGTCTTTGGCAAATTTCTGTAGTGCATCCTTGTAGATAGTACACACTGCTGCTCCTAAGCGCCGATGGAGGAGGGTGTGGATGGCATGCCAATCAAGTCAGCTGCTTTGTCATGGGTGGTGTCAAGCTTCTTGAGTGCTGCTGGAGCTGAACCTAGCCAGTCAAGTGGGGAGTACTTTATCAGACTCCTGACTTGTGCCTTGTAAATGGCAGACAGGGTTCGGGGAGTCAGGTGGTGAGTAACTCGCCGCAATATTCCTAGCCTTTGACCTGATCTTGTAGCCAGTGTTTATGTGATAAGCCCAGTGATTCAGTGATGGTAACATCATTGAATGTCAAGGGGCGGGGACTAAATTGTCTCTTACTGGAGATGGTCATTGTCTGGCATGTGTGTATCAATGTTACTTGCCACTTGTCATCCAAGCCTGGATACTGCCCAGATCTTGTTGCATTTGAATATGGACTGCATCAGTATCTGAGGAGTTGCAAATGGTGAACATTGTGAAATAATCACCAAACATTCCCACTTCTGACCTTGTGATGGAGGGAAGGTCATTGACTAAGCAGCGGAAAATAGTTGGGCTTAGGATACTACTCTAGCGAACTCCTGCAGTGGTATCCTGGAGCTTGGAGGAGTGGCCTCCAACAACCACAACTATGTGCCAGGAATTCCTCCAACCAGTGAAGAGTTTGCTTCCTGATACCTATTTATTTCAGTTTTGCTAGGACCCCTTAATGCCACACTTGGTTGAATGCATCCTTGATTTCAAGGGCCAATCACTCTCCCCTCACCTCTGGAATCCAGCTCTTTTGTCCATGTTTGAACCAAGGCTATAAGAGGTCAGGGGCTGAGTGGTGCTAGCGGAACCCAGACTGGGTATCACTAAGCAAGTTACTGCTGAGCAAGTGCTGTTTGATAGCATTGGTGGTGACATCTTCCATCACTTTACTAATTATCA